ACATTATTATCTGTTAATCAAGTACTCATTATTTTGGCTTTTATACATATTATCTTAAGCTATATTTGCATGTATTCAACCCATATCAGCTGTGTAATATAAGACTCCAGACAAAAGTCTCCAGATTAACGTGAGCATTTTCCCCCCAAAGTTCCCTTTCAGTAAGGAGATGAGACATTGAAGTCGTCAGTAATAGAAAACAACGACAGAGAAATAGGTACCAGAAGAACTTTGAGTGACTAAAAAAGACAAAACTTTCCAATGAGCTTTCATTTTTTCCAAGTCAAGTCATCCTTAGGCAGGACAGAAAACCTACACAGCTTTGTGTCTCAAAAAAGTGTCACATTTCAGCGCTGGAGTAAAAAAACAGATTCAATGTGGGAAAAGGTTCAGGTGAAGAAGGAGAGGTGGAAGAGGAAAAATAAATATCTGGTGAAACGCGAAGGCAGGACCGCGTGTTCCTGACTGTTTGTCTCGAGTAGAAAACGTGAGTTAGCTGTAATCGGATCTCAACTGTGGTGAGATCATGCACGAGGCCCGCCAGCATTCTCACAAAGAGCAGTCCACCCATAAGCCGTGAGCCCCGCTGCAGCGCGCTGTGGCTCTCTGCAGGCCTGCCAGCTTAAATACCATATGTCATTTTTCAAGAGCGCTAGATGGTTTTAACAGGGCAGTCGTTTTGTCCACTAGTTATTATCATCAATTGACCCTACAGTACGTTTGTGTCTTTACAATAAGTATTAAGTAAAAGTGGCCAAGCACCATTACAGTTATAAAAATAAAGATTCCAAATTACTTACAGGAAACACGTTGTTCCCTTTCCATGTAATTCTAACAGGACAGTTAAACTGTGTTCCTTTGTTTGCTAGTTTGTTTGTTAGTTCACAAAATTATGCAGAAACTACCGGACATATCAACATGAAACTGGTGGAAGGATGTGGTATGGGTCAGGAAAAAACCCAGTACATTTTGGTGTGGATCACTTTTACTTTCTTATCTCTTTCTTTAATATTCTAAGAAAGGATAGGGTGTTTCTCAACATGTTCATTGTTTTCTCTCATTTCACAATTCAAGTAGGGCACATTTAGGGAAGTGATAATTACCAGTGTGTGTAGATCCAAAGAAAAATCAAGATCTGTGAAGCTAAAAAGTTCTCGTCAGGTGATTGCTTCTTCACGACTGTCCGAGTTCACGACCCCTGCATGTCCGAGAGGAAGCAGAGCCAGATGGGGTCCTGGCACATGGATTATAGTGAGTGAATGAGCTGCTTGTGTATGTGCCCAGAAATACAGGGTTGTGCTGACTTGCATAGTGTTGTGTGTTGAGTTTGTGACAGCTGCACATACAGAGAAGGAGAGGAAGAAGTCTCAGTTGACCCTGAAGATTTCACACCCTGTCTGTACCTCTAGAGTACTTGAGTTCTTCAATATAAAACTCAATTATGTTTTTAACTCGACTGAGATTCAGACACATTTTCAGATCTTTAATTAATCAACAGTTTATTCTTCTCTTACAGTCACCAAACCTGATCAGATGGACCTAAGATAACGCCACCAGAAGTTCTACCCTTGTCCCAAACCTCCGCCAGCCCCACGACCTTCCACGTTCAGTCAGAATGGCAGATCCCACCGGGCTGAGCCCTGAAGGGGCGGGGACAGGCATAACTGAGGTCGACGCCTGTAGCTTGGAGATAGAGAGGAAGTATGATGTCATCCCTGCCGTCATCTGCTCCATGTGTTGCCTGTTTGGCATCATCTACTGCTTCTTCGGTGAGGCTCCCTGCCCTCTCTCAGGCCTTGACATCAAGCAAGCTGAAACACAGGATGACATAACACAGTCACAGCATACATGCTGATAGATTTATATTATGGTTATGTAATATGGTGCTTGCTTTTTGTCCTGTTCCTTTCAACTCTCAGTTTTTCATTGTAAATCTCTCCTATGTCTCCTCCTCTAGGTTACCGCTGTTTCAAGGCTGTCATGTTCCTGTCGGGCCTGATGTTCGGCTCAGTCATCATTTTCTTGCTTTGCCACAAGGAGCACGTTCTGGACACCCAGCTGAGCGTAGAGGCCAGCGCCGGTATCGGCCTCGGTATCGGCCTGCTGTGCGGCCTGGTAACGATGCTGGTGCGCAGTGTCGGCCTCTTCATGACTGGCCTGCTACTGGGTCTCCTCCTGGCCCTCGCTGCTCTGCTGGTCACTCAACAGTTCTACACCCCGACCACAGTCTGGGTGCCGCTGGGTACTCTCCTGGGAACAGGCATGCTGTTTGCCGTGCTGACGCTGCAGTGGCAAAAATTCTTCACCATGCTTTCCACAGCCGTGTTCGGGGCAGCGATCATGACAGTGTGTGCTGATTACTTTGTGGAGATGCTGGCACTCGGCACACACGTGTACGAGTGCCTGCGCCTCACGCCCGGACCACCTCTCTGCTGGTACAGCTGGGTCATTATGGGTATCTGGCCCGCCCTCAGCCTCATAGGAGTACTGGTCCAGTGGAAACTGACGGATGACAGCTTCTCACACACTGAGGGTGAGGATGAAATATAATGATGCTCTGAGTTGGGTCATGGTCTGTATTTATCAAACCTCTGAGAATCACACATAAGAATGTGCTCAAGAGCCAAGACATATTTATTAAGCATTCATTCTTTTTTTTAAAGCATGTTTTCCCAGGGATTTCTGCAAAAAAGGGGATTTATATTAAAGGGTAAAAAAACACCCTGTCTCACAAACTTGTCTTCCCCTCAAGCTAACTAAAGAATAAACCATCAAATACGGACAAAAACAAACTCATAGATGTATAAGAGAAAACAGATACTTGGGAAAAATTTGTGCCACATTGCCGCTCTGTCTTCAACTACATAAGATCGATTGAAAAGTGACCTTGAAGGCTAAAATTAACCTGCAGCCATTTCATTTTAATTTGAGAGAATTTTCAAGTCACAAAATCTTCCTGTTATAAAAAATAAATGGAAGAATTTTAGCTTTGTGGTCCTTTAATTAATTAAGAACTTTAATACTTCAACGAGGCTCAGATATTTTAGCAGTACGGACTAGATGGCCCAGACATTTTAGTCAGGATTTTACAAATATACTTTATTTCATGGCTTTTTATTTTCTCTTTCCTCTTAGTTGTAATCAGTCGACGGCAGAAGAGAGTCCAGCTGATGCGGATTCGGGAGAAGGACGCCAAGAAGCGACAGCAGGCAGGTGGGCAGGAAGGCACATACCGTCGTAAACCCACCCCAGTGAAACGTTACGCTGGGGATCTACTGGCACCGGTCAGTGTCACCCAGAATGGCGTGTGCTGTAGTTGCTGATAATTATTATGCTTACTAGGAAGACCAGAGTAGTACAATAAAAAAAGACAGGCTTGTTTCTTGGTTAAGTTGCAAGTATTTTTGTGCACCTCACTCATCTCTCCCTGTTTTGTTCTTGCCCTCAGAGTTACCTGCAAAGTCTTCGAGACAGACAAATGGGCACAGGCACTTCCCTTAGCAGCCTGGGAACTGCCAACCACACCATGATCGACTTGGAGTACGACACCGGCTCCACTGTGCCCCTCACAGCTACAACCCCAGTCGTCAGGGTGTGAGCAGCACAGAGATACGAAGGGACTACTTAATGCACTCCGGTTCTTCAGCAGTGTCTCACTAACGTAGAGTAGAAGCTATAAACTACTCCACTCCGCTGAGGGTGTTTTTCAAACTGATCTGGAGTGAGGATGGATTTTCTCCTCATCAGTGTGTCGGTGAAAACAAATGCTGCTTTTTATTTGAGAAAAGAGGAAGTGTCAAGCTCCTGCTTGGTGAACGCTACAACCACTGTGTTTCTTAGAGAAACTTCATAAACAGACACTAACAAAGTAAAGCAAGGTCCTCCATTTCCTTCCATCGTGTATTAAATACATAACAGCAAGTACGAGCCTCAAAAGCAGGTGTCTATCTGTTTTGGTAGTGAATATGACAAAGCAGTTTGTTTGACATTACATGTACTGTACTTAAAGAGTTATTGCCATGAAGTGTTGTGTTATGATATGCCTTTCTGTTTAACTCTGTGGTCATATGGATTTATGATTTTCTTTTTTTAGATGAAGTGTGTTGAGTTAGTTCTTGTAGATGACGTGTGGCCGCAACTATGACGTGAAGCAAAAACTAAATGCAAGAAATAACTGTCGGTATTTGAAAGCTCTTTGCACGAGACTTTAGCAAGAACGTTTTCTAGCAGCACTCTAAGAATTCTGTGACCCTCCTCTGTTCTGTTTTTGCAGTGTAGCTCCAGTCAGGATACAGTAGGTGAATACGTTAGACTGTCACTTGTGGAGTAAATGTTTTATAATTTATTTTATGTTATGGCCAACTACCTGGTAGTGTTGACAAAAAGATATTAAAAAAACAAAGCATGTTTGTTGTTAATTGTAGATTTTTAAAACAATTATCCACTTTTTCTTTGTTTAAATTTCTTTTTTGCAGGGACAACGCACTTGTTACCTGAATCTGTACATACCTGTTGATAGAAATTTCAAAGAGAAATAAATGTGTTTGATAAAAAAGAAAAGAAAATACGTTTTCACTTGTCGCCTCAGTTGCACTGTTTGTCTCCTCGGGCTCTTAGCAACACTGGCACCGTTACTGGCTCTACTTTCGGCAATAAAGAGGTCATGAGGAGGATTTCCTACTCTGCAATTGGTCGGGGTTGCCATGGCGCGACCAAAGGTTTTTTTTTTAGCAGACAAACAATGCAGGACAGACCGGCCTTTCATCATTATGAACATATTCCTCCATCCTTTTTAGTGGCAATGTGTAGCCACGTTTGTGGCGACGAGCTCATTGCTTTCAGAAAGATCGTTTAACTGCTGACTTAACGTCTTGTTTAAAAATGGTTGATTTCTCCTTTAGGACAAGCTGCACACAGATCCACATGATTTCTCAGTGTGATTCATGAGATTATAGTGGAAGTGTTTAGTAAAGCAGAAGAGCTCTGAACATTTATTCAAGAAGCTGGTTTGACAAAAAAGTTAAAGCCTGAACAGAAATGTGAACACTCCCATCATCGTATTACATCTTACTGAAACTATTGAGACACATAATCCAACACATGTCAGAGAGAGAAACAGAAGGCCTCTTGATTTCTCCCTGAGATCGTGGATGGACTTACATAATTCTCAGTCACAGAAACACATTTGTGCTCAAGAATTAAGCCTCGCAAAAAAAATCTGCCTGCTTCGGAGGGAAGGAGAAATTTGTAATTAGAACCAGTGATAAAAATAATTCCTTTTCCCTTGCTTTTTTTCTAGTTAGACAATATTTCACAATGAATCACTGCTGTTGAGGTTGCATGGTCATGTCAATGCCCCTGGAGTGGAACCAGCACCCCTGCTGTAGACCTCTTAGTGCCTGTTGCCCCCTGATGGTCAACTCCTAGCATCTCATCCAGCGCGCCTTCTTGCTCAGTGGGTATCCTCTGTCGACTCTCAGCATATCACTCACTCGCCAGTAATTGTCCCCTTTGAAGAAGAAGATCTTGCCGTTGGTCCAGGTGAAGGCTGCGTCCACGTTGGACGGCACGCCGGTGAAGAGCATGGAGAGCGGTTTGGGGTACAGACTTAAGTTGTTGAACTTTAGCTCATCCCACTGCCAGTGCTCCGAGCCCTGAACAGGCCGATACCAAAGTTAGGAAATAAGAAAAGAGGGGTTTTTTTTGCAAGAACATGGATTCAGTGACTCATAGCTTCATCATAGATACCTTAATAAAGATCAGCTTCTTGTTCTTCTCCAGGAATAAGGCTGCGTCGATGTTAGGAGGAATCCGTTTCACCTCTTTAGGGTAGCCATAGTCCAGCAGGAACCTGGTGTACTTCCACACTTTATTTCCTGTGACCAGAAACAGTCTATCATTTACACAGGCTGGAGAACTGAATGTAATATTAGTAGTTGTACAGGGAAACAACTGTACCTTTAAAAAAGTACGTCTTGTTGGTTCTTGGTGAGTGCACAGCAGCGTTCAGGTTTCCAGGGAGCTCCTTCCACAGCCTGTCAATTCTGATCGGTGTGTTGTGTCCAAGGTCAGAGATCGTCCATATATAGTCACCGCTGAAAGCAAAGGTTTTACTCCAAGGACCTGATGGAAATATACAGTGAGATCTTCATTCTTTTTGTGACACGTCTTAATGAACATGAAGTCAGAAAAATCCCCATTGAGAAAATGAGGAAGAGGAATTTTAGAAATGATGCACCCGCCACCTCCCATTGATTCAGTCTCTTTGAGCTCATACATTATTATTCGTGATGCAGGCATCACAGGCCTCTCCTCCTCCTCTTCCTCCTCCTCTTCCTCCTCCTCTCCTCTGTAACTCACCTAACATGATGGCGTCCAGTGTGGCGGTGCAGGGGTCAGGGATGTTGAAGGTTTCATGGCTGCTTTCTGTGGGAAACACACTCTCAGGGGTCGTTGGACTGGCCAGAGTGCTGTCTACGCGTTTACCTAGAAAACAGAGAATATACAAGTTATATGATGAACGTATGCTTACCATGTTTTGTCATTTGAAAACTCCTCAACCAATGTTTGTTGGTTCAGTTCAAACGGTCAGACATGTGGTACAAAATGTCTTTTAATTAAAGGTAATGTTTGAATAATTCAAATTTCTAATTCAATGTGTTCTTTTTCATATGTAAATATTTGAGTTTTACAATTCTAACCTTTACAGTTCATTAAAAGATTACCGGGATACACACTGAGCAGAAAAAAACAACTTGTCATTGGACAAACTGTGTGATGCCGTCACTGTGTCCAAACTACTGTGAACATATCTATTTAAATTTCTTGACAGCGAAAGCCTCATGAGGAGGTTTAGGACAACCTATGCTGTTATATCTGGAGGTCAACAGCTGCATCCATAGACTCCAACCAAGTGTGGCTCCGGCCTACATCTGTGATAGATGCATGAGATCCTCCAGCAGGGGCCGTAACTGGGCTTATGCTGCTCGGGTCCCTCAACTGTGGAACCCGCTCTCTGCAATCTCAGGCAGGTAAAGTCAGTATCTTCTTTTAGATCTCTTCTTGAGACTCACCATTCTTTTTTTTATTTTAATTATTGATATGGTTGAAACTATTTATAGTATTTTATTTCTTCTTACATTTTATTTCAATAGTTCTTCTTCAGTCTTCACACCATCATCTTGAAACACACTCACCATACAGTGCCTGGATTCCTCTCACATCATCTGAATGAAGCCTGAAGTTGGCACGGTAACCAGAGTAGACCGGTGCCATCAGAGCGCCTCTGAATTGAGAGTGACCCAAGCCGAGGGCGTGGCCGATTTCATGGGCCGCCACAATACGCAGATTAGTGCCATAATATGATCTCTCTGTCCAGAACTCATCTTCATCAAAATGAACAATACCAGACTCTGGTGACTCAGCGTGGGCCAGGACGTGACCTGCAGGTGGAACAGATAAACCCAGTGTGTCAGTGTGTCTGAGGCCAAGTGACAGGAAAAACTTTGCTTATGGAGAGCGCTCACCTCGGCCATCAAACGGGACAGCGCAGTAGCCATCATTCTTATGGAAGGAGATCTTTATGTCCGCTCGGCCATAGTCGACCTCTCTGAAGGTCAATACAGTCACGTCAGTCCAGTAGTTGAAGGCAGAGCGAATGGCTGCCTTGACCTCGGCCTTCTTCATGTCAGGTGTGTAGTTGTAGATGCGGTAGGTCAGACTCCTCTTCTTCCAACGACCTGAAAGAGAGGAAGCTTTTTATGAATCTCGACACCAGACAACAGTTTTGAGACGAGACTTCACGTCCATACAAAGTGTTTTCATTATGAAGCTACGGAACTAAAAGGAATCAATCAGATATCTAAATATTAGCGCTGCTCCCTGAGAAAGAGCATCCAGTCAAGCTTATTGCTTCCAATCCAAACATGTTTTGTTTGTGTTTGTTTCCACAATTTTTCTACAACATACAACCGTACTATACTTCCATCACAATGTGTCACAGTCAGAAATAGGACCTCTTTAAATCCTTTGACCACTTGAACTTTACTACTTAACTATTGTTTACATGTGTGTGCACAGGCTGCACTTTGTAATTTCAATACTAAAAGATGTATTTCAGAGATTAGAACGATGTGGTTTGGTGTCTTGTGTTGTGTTCATGTTTCGATTTTAGGCCCCAAGGTCCGTTTTGCCCAGGGCCCTTGAAACTCTCCTGATCTCAGATTTGTTTTTACGATATGTGTAGGGTTTTAAAACACCACCAACCCCAGTGGTAATGTCAGAGAGAAATGGTAGACAACCGCAAATGACTACTGATGACATGGAGTGTTTGCAGTTTTTTCTTAAGTTCTATATATAATACAGAGAAAATCAGTTGGTCTGTTGAGAGCTGACAGAATGAACAGAAACTGAATCACTTTATCTTGTAGTTTCTAAGTCGTTATCTCCAAAGAGCTTATGCCCTCGCTGCTGTCTGTTGCTTTGCTTGATTGTCAGCAGGAAAAACTACTGAACAGATCTCCATGAAACTTGATGGTAGGATGAGACATGGGCCAAGAAACAACCCAATTAATTCTGAGCTCTATCCGGTGTATGTGCGTTGTTTTTAGGGAGGGGGCTGGGTGGAGATATGTGCTCTACTGAGAGCCACTTATTTATGTTATATTTACACTTTAAATAACCACTGGTTAAACTTAAGATGATACATGAGGTCTTCAGAGATACAATCTATGTTGCAAGTGTGAAAATAGTCATAAACCTGTGTGTATCAAATTTGCAGTGCAGATGTTACTGATTCAGTCATTTCCAGTTTATGACAACTTGCCACGTAGTTGTCAAAGTTAAAACTGTTCACTGAAGTCAACTGGGATATTTAAGAGGTGAATCTATAACGAGCTTCACAGTAATTTAATTATCTACTTGATCACAGTTTCAGTCCAATGAATGGACACAAAAAGGATTTGTTAACAGCTGTTTTTTTCTTAAAAAGCCACATTTGTGAAATCATTAAAGAGAAATAAATGTTATAAGCACAGATGCTCCGACCCACCCATCACTCTGTATCTGTGAAACTTCTTATTGAAGGGGTCGTCCAGGCCGCAGCGGGGCTGTTTCATCAAGTCCACCGTGGCTTCATCCAATTCTCCAGTAGGTGGCAGATCGTTCACCCTCTGGAGGACACTGTACACAAGAGGAGACTGAACATCTGCACACTGAAAAAATCCAGCCACCTCCTCTGTGTCAGAGCGTGGGAGTATTGTCTCAGGTAGATCTGAGTATCAAGTATAAACCTGTGCGTGTTACCTGAGAGCACTGATGATGTCTTCCAGGTAACGAGGGTCCTGTGGGTCAGCAGAGTCGTCCAGGTAACCATACTGCCTCAAATAGGCCTGTAAATGTACAAGCAGAAAATAAAGCTCTCACGTATTGTTACTATATAAAATGTCAAGTGTATCTTGCTGGTTAGATAAAGCATCTCTTGAATGTAGGTGCATCCTACCTCTGCTTCATTCAACTCTTTCCACTGCACCACAGCACTGAATGCCCCACTGAGGCTGAGCAGCAGCAGCAGCAGCCCTGTGTAGTCCATCTTCAAGTTTTTATCAACAGCTTCTGACCCAGATATCCAGGGCTGGAGAAGTGCTCACCAGAGTCCCACAGCAGACTCTATTTGCTCTGTGAGCGCCCCCGACAGTTTTTAACTCAGCCCGGAGCATGAGTCATCCCTGTGGCTACGATGATCCACCTCTGAAGAATGAGGAGTACAAGAGCAGCCAGTTGATCCGAGGCCAACCTGTCTGCTGGTAAACTGTGCAGCTGTTCAGAGGGGACGAGGAGCTCCAGCAGCAGTCTGCACACTTCACAGGCTGTAGATTCAGTGAAGATATTCCGTTCAGATTTCACTGACAACAGAGCATTAACCCAAACAAAATCTCTCTCCTTCTTCATTCAGGATTACAGGAGTTTGTGTATCACAGTCAGTTATGGGTTTAAACCACAGGAGCTGCCTCACCCTCCATCTCCACATTCCTGTTGTCCCCACACACGTCCCATCCGAGACAAATATCTATGTTTACACCTCCAACACAAATGATTAGGCCCATCCCTGCCGACAGGTAAGCTGGGATAAATAGATTTGGTCTGTTATTACATGTTGTCAACAGCATATGTTGTCTTCCTATGGTTTAGACTGATTAAGACCCAACAGTTCTCTGAAAAAAAGGTTTTTATTTGGCTCAAAATTGCACAGACTCATACATTTCAGTCCCCTAAACATGCCTGATTTTTAAAAAAATCTAGATCTATGAATTATTCTGTGAGGAATAAAAGAATATGTTGAAAAATACTGTCTCACATGTTAAAATGTGAAACAAAATAAACCCCTTACGCCAGATCTCAAAATGTACTAATTTAATCTACAGTATATTTTGTGTAATACAGCTCACTGACTGACAGACAAACACAGATGAAAACTGACCTCTCTGGCAGAGGTAACAAAATAAATAGTTTTAAGTTTTTTAATGCATAAAATGTCTCCACCAAAAACACTGTTTGTGCCGTGTTTTAACAGACTAACATCAGACAATCAGCTGGTAATGTTTTCTGAGAACTTTATTTCCATTGCTTGTGTTCACAAAAACATTCATGAAACATGTCAATATCTTAATATACTATGTCATTAGAAAACTATGAATATTAAAGCTATTAAAGGATCAACAACTAAATGAGGAGGAGTAATGATTTTATATTTGTACCATGTGGTTTGACAACTCTCAACATCAGCTGGAGTCTGCAGCTGGGTTTGTATTAAACTCACACTTTAGATTTGGATGACTGCATATAAAAGCCTTTATTTTAAAATAAATCAGTGAAGTGAAAGAAAGATATTTTGCTGATGTATTGTGTTTCATGTTGAATAAGTGGAAGTGAAGGTTTTGGAGGAGGATTGAATGAGTTGATCAGCAACTTCTCTTAACTATTTCTGACAAGGGAGGACAATTTAAGTTGTTGCCTTGTCGGTAAAATCTGCTTGATTCAGAACATCCAAGTCAATGAGTCAAATCTGTGATTATTATAGAAATGTTGAAGTTGTGTAGATTTTATTTATTTATTAAATCTCAAGCAATATAAAGTCTACATAGATTATAAATATTCAGTAATGAATGATACAAGTTTAGTAAGTGGCACTTTCCCTGTGTATTTGTACCTATACTCTTGCAGAAATGAAGAATAGTTGGACTGAATGAATGTTACAATAGCTTTAGTTGGTGAAACAGCTGCTCTCCATATGTCATCGCTCAGTTGGCATCATCTGACCTCAGAGTTACGACACAGACTAAAACCTGAGAAACACTGACACTACAAGTTTGTCTTTTTGTGCCAACTGCTGAAGTTAAATCCAGATTTTCCAGGAGCAAAGAGAAATATGTTTTTCATCTACGGTCAACAATAATGCAATTTATTTTATCTTTAATTATTTTGTCTTCTTTGTTTTTGTATTATTTTGTAGATCTTAGATGTAATTTTATAGATATAATGTACATAGTCAGTACAGAAGAGATTATATCTTGTAAAAATTGTGATGGTATATAATCCTATCTTTTAAAATACATTTTATTTATAACAATATTATACTTGCTAATCAATGGATTGATGTATAGTGCTGTTCATTTATAGGCTCTCAATGGGGGGCTGATTAATTCATTGACCCATCCTAAGTTCACTGCTGACCCATACAGAATGACAGAATCATGTATTACTAATAATGAGGAGGAGAAAGGAAAAGAGACATAATACAATTTTTTTTAATAAGGCTGCTTTTGGCACACAAAAGCAAAGAAGCTGAAGAAAGACATAAAATAATCCGATGATTATTTTTGGCAACGGACCAATATTTATTTAATGTGATTCATTTTGCAGCTGATGTTACTTCCCTTCTCAGTCATTTCTCCTATGTCTTCATGAGCAGTTTATGGTTGTACTCACACCAGCATCATGACACAGCCTGGAACAACTGCAACAACTGCATTAATGGGTTTTTTCTGCTGGTCACAATTCTAGTCATTTATGAGTCAAAGACAGATCAGAAAGAAAAATAACAGAAAATGTCCCATGTCTAAACAAATAAGTCCAACTGCATTTATCGTGCATGGAAAACACTTAAATAACAACATAGATCACTTTAATCTCCTCTCAGGGCAAAAGGACAGGGGAGTCATCGCCATGACAACATCCTATCTCCCAATTCATTAAGATATCCTGTAAATTATGGACTGTAGCTTTATTTCAGGGTTACTGTATTGTTGGAAATGTACCTGAACTGTTCCTGCTATTCAAATGACTGTAGTTTTGAATGTTAAGTTTACTTTTTAAACTTTTACTTTAAACTACCCTCTCTTTTTTCCTCCTGTCAGCTTCCTGCCAGCTGCAACATCATTTCACAAGCTTCTGAGTCACTTTATGTCATGTTTCCTCTGTTGCCACATTTAAGAATCATTATGAAAAAGTAGTTTTACCATTTGAAATTACTTTGTTAGCAAAGCCCAAAAAAAAAGGTACATTAATTTTTATGAAATCTTCAGCTTCCTGGTCTCTGTTTAATCAATACAATATGATAAATTATGTACTGAATACTTTCCCTACTCCTATCAGAACAAGATACCCACACTCAAAGAGACACAGAAGGATGGCTCATTGTTAGAGTACAGGCAACATTATCAGATCCATAAATAAAACACTCAATATGATATGAGGAGAATCACAGATAGCTGGAGGTCAATTTGGTTAAAGCAGAAAGTGAATTCAACAAGATGAAATATAAACATGTTCACATAACTTGAATAGAAAAGAAACACTAATATTTTCCAGTAATAAAGGTCAAAGAAGAGTCCGAAAGGATATAATTTAAATGAATACATGAATTATCGCATTTTTACTGACTGAGTATTTAGCTTGCTGTCATGATTAATCAATAATAATTATAGTGTATTTAGTGTGATAAACTCTTCCTTTTACTCAGAAGCTCTGATTTTAAACAACAGTGGACACGTTAAAAGGTAAGAGCAGCAAAACAAATCCACTGATTTATAAAAATATCTTCTTTGTCACCTTCTTGTAAACTCTTTTTTCCCTTTCAGGATCCTGTAAGAATGATGGTTATCTATTGATCTGTGGACTGGTTTTACAAAACGAGCCACTGAAGTAAGTCAGAAACTCCAGAATTAAACCTGAGGTTTCCTCAATGACCACAAATCCTGCTTCGTAGTACAGTCCTCTGTTTTGTCTCTCTCCTCGTTAGGTACCAACACTTGAATGTCTGCATTTTGATCTAAATCATTGATTCACCTCCTCTCACAAAACTGCCACAAAACATAAAGGCCTGCATGAAACACATCAGCTCACAATTGTGCTAAAGAAATGTCTTCAAGCGACTAAATGTTCCCTCAATCTTCACAGTGGGATCTGGAGACAGTGGAAAAACTGAAGGTCAAAGTTCACCTGTTATTTGCTGAACATAAGCAGATGATCTCAGCCTGTCATAGTTTCTTTTGGTAAATCACTTCGTCTGGCTCCTCAAACTTAAAAACATGATCTGTTGCAAAAGGTTATTGATCGGCAAAGTCACGTTTTCAGATAAATAAAAGCTACTGATGTTTTAGAGCTTCCTAGATGAGTCTGTGCTTAGTAAACTGTTCTCTCTAAAGAAAAAAGCCTCTCCAGTAGCCTAATTTAAAATAATGACACAATAATAAGCTCAAAACTTTACTACCATAAACTAAGTACTACTAGATTCAAATGTATTATCCAAAATGTCAATGGTGTGTACATAACAGTC